ATTGGTAAGGAAATAGATGAATTTTTGTAAGGAAAGCAACCATGCCCTATGCTTGATGATGATAAGATTGATGAATTCTTACAATGGCATTCAATGATATAGATGTTTTGCAAGAGATGCCTACAGGAACACAATTGGCAAAAAAGAAATTGATGTATTCATGTTAGATGCAGACACAGAAAATGTGCCAAATAAAAAAGTGTAAACATAAAGATAGTAGAAGCAACCCAAGTTTTCCCAAACACCTTTATTTCTTCCAAGTCTCACCATGAGGTATTTAACCTTTTATCTTTGGCACTTTCTAATCTTAAAAAGGTCATGGAAACACCATCGAACTTAGTGCTAAAACTAAGACATACATACCCTCAGATAGGAAACTTGAGATTTTTGATAGCCAGATCCCTACCACTACTACACCACCTACTAATGAGCCTTAGCCTACTATTGAGACTCACGGATAAGGTTATAAAAAAAAAAAACGATTAAATGGTTGGATGCATGAATCAAGTGCGGTGTAATCACTAAGGCCAATTCTAATCTACTTGAGTTTGATGCAAATGTTGAGCTGTAAACTTAAATTCAATGCTTTATGGGAGTTAACTCAAATTTCTTCCTTCATTTGATTACGTTGTTTTCTTTCTATTAATTGTTTTTCTCATTATAATTTGTTTCTTTTGTTTATAGGAAAAATCATGCCAATCTTGAAACTTTGAAAAATGCCTCAGCCATGTCAAAAGAGTATTTTGTCTTTCTGTGTTTAAATTCTTACTTGCCTGCATGTTGAGAACAATTTGATTTTCAAGTTTGAGGAAAAAGAAAATTTGTAGTGCAAATTGTCCAAAATTTCAAAAGGTTTCAAAAGTTTTACAAGTTTTTAGCTAAATTGATTCCGGCTATGAAAGAAAATTTGTGCCTAAATTTTCCAAATAATTTCAAAAATTTTTACAAGTTTTTTAGCTAAATTGACTACAACTTTGTGTTATTAGTATACTTTCTCTAGTTGATTGATGATGATCCTATGTTGACTTTGGTTATAACTTTAGAAAAATAGTAAATATTTTATGAAGCATGAGATGATTCTTAGTAATTGTTTGTATTTGATTGCAAGTCAATATTTGTGAGTATAAGCTCTAATAATTTATTTGCATGTTATTTAAAAAATTTTTATATAATCATAGGATTGCATTCATTTTCAAAGCAACGCTTGTATTCTAGAATTTATTTGATTACCTTTCGAGGTGAAATATTAGGTATCACTTAATTAGGGATAGGATTTAAGCCATCCTTAGACCGATTGAACTTTTTTCAAGCCAACCCTAATGTACATATCCTTAGTTACCCTATTTGAGCTTTATTATCCTTCTTTTGTTTATAAAACCATATAACAGGCATAGACTTTGTTCTCATTTTCCATTTTCTTGTCCCTTCCTATAAGCATATGGATCATTCTTGTCAAATTATAGAGTTATGATACTTATGTAAGGATAGGTGAATTGTTTAAAAAAAGAAAAAAATTATGAAAATAAATTGTGCAAAAATACAAAAAAATAAATTGTGAAAAAATAAAGAAGAAAGTAAAATGCAAGTTTGGGGAATGGTTGTATATGTTTGAAAATACTCTCACTCATTGCAAAATCAAAATGGTCCTAAGCTAGTGATGCATGATTATAGTATTTTAACCTAAAATGTCCTTTTATCCCACCTTACCCTAACCTAACATTACAAGCTTATAAAAACCTAAGGATCTTTAATTTAGTGAAAGTTACATTAGTGGAGAGAGATATGAAAGGTGAACATATGAAGTATAGATGCTCATTGCTAATACTTTGTTAATTCCTTGATTGTACATTAACAACTAGATTAAATGTGTTGATATGTGAAGAATAATGCACACAAAATGCAACTTCAATTAAGTTGATGCATGATCTAAGATGACTCATGATTAGTTCATGTTTATGTTTACTTAAGCCATAGTCATTATGCAATTTTTAAAGCAATCATCATCAATTGATTATGAGAAGTAGAATTGACTCATAGCATAAATTTGATTTTGTTTGAGAACAAGTAAAAGATTAAGTTTGGAGGTGTGATAATTATATATTTTATAGAATTATTCTAGGTTTTATTGTATGAATTTCATCATTTTGGATTTTACTTTAGCTTGTTCTTTAGCAAAACCTGCAAATTTCCTTAAGCTTGTGTATTTTGTGATTTGTGTAGGTTATTAATTCAAAAATGAAGATCAAGGTCATTGAGCACTAATATGGAGGATTAAGGATGCCATAATACCAAGAACCCCAAAACTGAGTCATGTAGGTCAAGTTGGTGCAAGGCTAAGATCATCCATGGAGCATCATGGAAAAGGTTGACTTTTAGGAGTTGACTTGAATGACTTTTTGGAAGATCATTCAAGATAGTCACGAGCTCCGTGAAAATAAATTTTGATTTTGACAAGCCATGAAGATGAAGGGTGATGATCGGCATCACATGAGCAACATGATGGAGGCATCTACATGGAATGATGGCTGAACATGAGGGACAAAATGCTAAATATTTGCCGCTGTAATTGTTGGCTTCTAGAAGAAACTTTAGGCTGGAATATTTAGAGATGACATGGAATTAAAAATCCCTCTCATTGACGAAGAAGATAGCACAAGAATTACCAAGAATGGAAAAAGCTTATCCCTTGAGCCGGATTGTGCAAGCTGTTTCCCCTCCCATTGGTCACTATTTTGGCACCACTTTTAGAAGAATTTGGAAAAGATGAGTTGGTTGCTGACTTGGCACAATCTTGGGAACTCATTGGTCTATCTAAAACCGATCACATAGGACGACCAACTAGCTTGAAGATACTACCTTTCCCACATAGGCCGAAACTACCTTCATGTGTTGTCCTAATTTGTTGCCTTCACCTCATTTGTCCATTTGGACACTCAAAGGTGATACCTTTGAAGATCTAGAAGGATGACAACTCAACTGACACGTGGACTCTTCAAGAAATGCCACTAGACCAGCTAGACAACAATCACATGATGAAGCATACAGCTAGCATTTCCAGCTCAGTAAGGTACAGCCTGGTAGTTCTCAAACAGTTCAAAATCTTCCCTTGGTAACTTGGCTTTCTGGGGGGCTAAGATTGATTTATTTTGACCATTGATCAGCTAAATGAGACCCTAAATATGCCTACAAATAAGATCCCAATAGCTGACCTATGGAGTTTTTTGCTTCCCTTTCATTTTTCTTAAATTTCTTTCAAGCTTCCACGGGTCTAATTGGCCAGGTAGAAGCTTGCTGGCCAATTAGACCTCCATTGAAGCTTAATTTACTTTGCTTTTCTAGTTGTTTTCTGAGCCAACTTATTATTCTCTTAAGTTCTCTTTTAGCTTATTTAAATTTTCCATTCCCTTCCAATACTTAAACTTTGTTATTTTTCTTTGTTACATACAAGTTTCGATTTTCATTTTGCACTGCTAGTTTCCATTTCCAGCTTTTAGCTTTCTATTTTTTTTTTTTTTTGAATGCAAATGTGCATATTATTTGAGCTCTTTGAAGTTTGAAGGGAATGACTTTGAATGCTATTTTGATGGTTACATCATAGGCTTTCAATGGCTTGACTAATTATATGCTTTTATTTTATTGAAATTTAATTTTCATGCCTTTAAATTCTATACTGTTTTATTTTATATTCATTAATTTTTCCAAAATTGTCTTCTCCTTAAGGTTTTTTTACATTCTGAAAGAAAAGTGGAGAACTTTTCTTATTTTACTTAATTGCATTTTAGACTATATAGATAATATTATTTATCTTAGAAATGTAATAATTTTTATAAGATATTTATGAAAATAAATTTTTTTTCTTATTATATTTTAAACAAAGATTATGTTTAAAAAAGAAAAAACATGGTTTTTCATTATATTTTTAATAAATATCACGTTTTTAGAATAAAAACATGATTTTTATTGAAATTATATTATAAAAAATTTATATTTGCTTTTTATAATTTAAATAAATGTGACATTTTTTTTAAAATACGATCTTTATTCAAAATATAACAAAGATCACATTTTTAATCTAAAAAGCATGATCTCTATTTAAAATATGTTAAAATTTTATTTTTTAGAATTATATAATTTCAACAAAGATAATTTTTTAATATTAAAAACATAATTTTTGTTAAAAATATGTTGTGAAAAACTTTAGATACAAAACTTTATTTACTCCTAACAAATAAAAGAATACTTTTGGGGAAAAGATGATGTTTTATTGCAAAAAAAGAAATCTTTTTTAATAGTTAATATTTTTTCTTGAATCAAAATGTCATCTATAAAAATCTTCCTCTTAACATTTATGGCTATCATCTTATATCAATGCTCATCGGTATCACCCGTTTGGAAAATATAAAATTCAAAATCTGTTTGCTACTAATCCTAACATAATCAAAATAAAACATAAAATATCTTTACTTAATATTATTATATAAAAATTTAAAATACTTTTACTTAATATTATTAAGGTCGATCGACTTATTTATTTATTTTTTGCATAAGGATAAACAAATTTAGGATAGTAATTTAGGTTCCATCTAACTTTACAAAACATATATAAAAATATTTTGAAAATATTGAACTAAATATATAAATAATTTATAATTAAAAGTTCCTATAAAATGTTAAATAAATAAGTTACTTTTATATTTTCATTTTGTTGTGTGTTCTTTACATGTTATCAAAAATAATACGGTAAGATATTTTATTAAGTAATCTTACATGCTTCTAACTAAATACAAAAAATTTACATTTCCTATAGTCAAGAAACCCCATGAATCACCCATTTTCCTCTAATATCATTTTTTTTAAAATTATTTTTTCTCTTGAAATTTAAGAATCAATGAACAAATGCACAGTAAAAATACTATATACGTTGGCGGATGCAGTAATTTTGAATGCAGTGAAATTTTACAAAGTGTATATATATATATATATATATATACACGCGTGTGTCCGCCCGCGCATGTGTACATGTACGCGTCTCTTAAACAGGTCTAATCCAATAACAATAAAGTATAAAATATAGACGGCAGAATGAAATTTGAAAGAACCAATCATTTCAAAATTTTCATCCGTACACATCCAGATCCACAAAAAAATGGGAGAAACGAAAAATCATTACCAATTAGAATTAGGTATATGATACATCAAGCAATCCTGAAGCTGCCTTCACATCCTACTTCTGACAGACAGTTCATACTTTATTTGGTCCCTCAAAACTCTCCTAAGTAATTTGTTAGAAGCAGTTCTAGGAAACTCTGGGATTATCTTCACAGAGCTAACCTGTGATCAATCAAAAAGCAGTCAATTTTAGTCCCATTGAACTAGCAACATGATTTTTTTTTTCCTCATTTTAATGACTCCTCTGTTTCGACCTTTGACTACAAGAATTTGGATTGATTAGATGGTGATGCTTGGCTGTCGAGACTACATGCCTAGACATAAGAAAAGATATTGAAACATGCAGGAGCCAAACCTTGAACAAGGGGTTGAGGTTGGTTTGAATGGCTTTCGAGAATTTCGTCTTCAGTTTCTCAGGTTGTTGATAAAACCCTTTCTTTAGCACCACGAAAATCATCAACAATTCCGGACCACCATCGGGTGGTGCTACACTGACTGCAGCAGTCTCCAAGACGCTTTCATCCGCGCGGTCACAAACACGTTCAATTTCAACAGAGCTTGTCTGCGGATATGGGAAGTTTAGGACTTTCATGCTTTCAAAACTATTCAGAAGCCAAATTAAAAGGAGAGTGATGATCTACACTTCAGTCAAATATTCTAGGTATGACACCAAAATTTTTAAATAAGAAAGGCCAGTAGGGTGTAATACCTTAATGCCACCAAGATTCATTGTATCATCAGCCCTTCCTTGCACAACAAGGTAGCCTCCAACAGTTCTCATGAGAATATCCCCATGTCTCCTGAGGCGCTGCCAATGAATGTATCAAATCATAAGATAATGCTTCCAAGCATTTGTTAAGGAAAATATAAAGCAGTTATTGCTTGAATATTATTCTAATTGCTATTAATCCCTAAAAGTGATATATGAGTACTAAAATTTTAATCTAAAAAGGTTTTAGCAAAAGTTCTATGTTCAAGAATTGGGAGATTTGATGTATTTAGGATTTGTTGTCTCATTTTCAAAATAGTAAAGCTGCATAAGAAAGCAAAATGCAATGGTAGGAGGGGAATCCTTTCTTTTTGGATGGTTATAGTCAGGGAGGGGAATTCAAACTTGGTAACCCCTTACATGGAGGGGTTGACAGAACTATTTGCTACATAATTTGAAATTTTTACCAAAAGATATATAAAACCACTCTGTAACATACTGCATTTAGAGTGTAACATGCAAGTATCCTGAGAAAGACAAATTTGACCATACCATTCCATTATATGTCGGCATTCCCTTGAAGTAAACCTCCTCATGATCAGCATTAAGCAGTCTATCAGTTGCTCCCAAGTAGAGAGGGAATAAACCAACTTCACCAACACAAGCTTTATCATCCGGCTGTCACAAAGGACAAGCAGATAAGCCACATTTATTTATATATATACACCTCTTACTCCTTTACCATGATCACAACAATTTTATTCATCTGTCACTCAGACCAGATCCTAATAGGATCAGGTAGTGGATATGTAATCCAGTGAACTATCAAATTGAATGGAAATGGCTGCAAAGGAAACTGCACCAGTTTTCAGAACAAGTTCTTACATAGGGAACTCCATGCTCATCCAAGATAACTAGGCCGGTTGTCATTGATGCAGTGCTAAATGCTCCAAAAGCTTGTGGCTGCAGTGGACTTCCTTGGATGTAAGATGATGCTAGCTCTGTGCCTCCGCAACATTCAATAACAGGCTTGTAATAAGATTTTGAGGAAAGCCAAAGGTCATCATCAACATTAGAGGCTTCTCCAGTGCTACCAAAACATCTGCAGCCATAAAAAAATGATAAAGTCTCTTTTTTGAGAATTGTAACTAATGCAGAAGTTCATTTTTGGATAAGGGAAAGAAAGTTTACTTTATCTTTGTCCAGTCTAAGCCTTCCATACACTTCGTATTCTTCCAAGTTTTCACTAAGCTTGGAACTGTGCCCAAAACAGTTACTCCTGCATCCTGAACCGAAATAAAAGAAGAAAAATGAGCTGGGGCTTAGTTGGTGTATTTTGTTCTCATTAATGCTATCCACAGTTCTATGTTCGTAGCAATATGTGAAATTTTAATTTTTAACAGAAAAAAAAAATAAAAAGAAGAATAAAAGAAGCATTTCCGTCACTTTGTATCTTTTTCATGCAAGAGAAGACCGTACCAAAACCTTATCCAACTCAAGCCAAGGGCAGTTCTTGTCATCTTATCTCCCAAAATCAACCAATCAACATCAGAAAAATGCAATTGTTATAGATATGGGACATTTTACACTGTGAACAACACATTAGTTGTCAGGCTTTAGGCCTTTAAATGTTCTGTTTAATCTAAGGGAATGATATACCAAAATACTTTCCTACTTTGCTTCCACTTTGCCTGAGGGTTTGTACACTAAGGCATCAGATGGCCACTGAATTAGGCCATGCATACTTCCATTATTTTTGGCATTGCCATATGCAGCATTTGTAAGTCAAATCTTGCTTAAGATATCCTTGATTATAGGCATTTTACTTGAAATAACTTGTTGTTAGAACTGTAGTCAAGTCACACCTCCTAAACACTAAGCATTGACAATAATAAGAATTCAAGGTTTCACCTGAACAAATTTTCCAAAACCACAGTCCAAAGGAGATCCATGATAGAGAGCAAGGGTTGCACCAGTTAGAAAACATGAGAAGAGTAAAATCGGTCCCATCACCCATCCTAGATTCGTAGGCCAGCAGTAAACATCTCCAACTCCAACATTAAGGTGAGCCCATGCATCAGAAGAACACCGAATAGGTGAAAGTTGTGTCCATGGAATAGCTTTTGGTTCTCCTGGTCAAGCTCAATAAATATAATTGAAAACCTTCAAACCAATTAAAGAAATGTATACATGTAAAAGTACATAATGAAGTGAAAATTTTCCACCTGTGGTTCCAGACGAGAATAGTATGTTAATTGTAGAATCTATTGGTCGATAACTTGGAGTGAAATGATTTGATCTGCCACAGAGATGAGAAAGATACAGGTAAAGAGAGACCAGTTGGTTAAAATACAGGTAAACTGTTCTCAAGCTATAATTGTAGACATTAAATACCTTGGATGTTGATTGTCATGCGCGAGAAAATCTTTCCATGATAGATCTTGTTCTCTTAATTGAATACCTACATCATTCCCATACACAGGGAGCACAATAGCTTTATATGGAGAAGCTTCTACAACTCGACTGCAAGGCAAAGACAAACAGCCATGAATGCCAACAGTTGTGATAAACATATCGACCCTAGTACCCTAAAATTTGCATCTTCGAGAAATTCAGAATAAAAAAAATGAAGGCATTGACAGCTAGTTTTGGCTTCCATCTTCATGGTAAGGCACTCTCATTGAGGCCTACAAATATGCAACTTAATTGAAAACTTGTATTTGGAACTTATAGTTGAAATGAAAATAGAGTTCCTCGGGACGCATTTAAGCCACCAAAAGCTTGTTGAGATAATCCAGAGGCATTTAAGCCATTCAGAACATGACCATAACCTCAATTCCTAGTCATTCTCACATAAATTAGGTACCACAGCTCTCCCAGCTATTGGCATCCCTTACCGAAAGAAAGCATATGCTGTAAATTTAGAAGGGCCTTTGACTTGCAGAGGTCATCTCTAGGAACAACATACCCATGATTCTTTATCAAACTGTTGCTTGAGAAAGTAAAAATAGTAGATCATTTGGCCTGTACAACCAAAAAGAAATTTCTTTTACCTGTATAGAGGAAACTTTCGACCTCCTCTTAGTATGAAATCCTGAATACAGAGTGCAGGTATTTATCATTTCCAAAACAAAGCAAATTGGAAATTAGAGTTAAAATTGAGAGTTTTGCTAAAGTCATAGAGATATAGTTTATACAAATGCCAACATTTATCAAGCTTTCATTCTATTCACAAAAATCTACAAGTACAAGAGTGAAAAATTGAAAAAAAAAACAGAAGTAATTTTAAAACTTTGATATCAAAATGGAAATCAGAATGAGCACAATGGTTTACAACTTACATACTGTGTAGCGGACATGATAATAAAAGCAAATGATGTTGTAGTAAAATAAAGCGACTCAGACCACCACACCACACACTTTTGATTATCTGAAGTTATTTGTAAGAAAGCATAGAAAAGTTTTCTAGCAGATAAATGCTTAGTCCCAATGATTGAAATGTATCAACAACCATATATTTAGTGACATATCCATCAATAAATGCAATCTCAAAGTTAGACATTCTGGGTGAAATTTTGTTCATATCCTTTATAAAATGTTAAATAATCAACAGAAGTGGAAGAACACCTGAGTGAAGATAGCCTTCGCCTTAGAGATCTGCAAACGTGTTGCAATTTCCTTTGCAGCAAAACTATCAGCTATAGATACAACAACAAATCCAGCTAACACTATTGCCAGGTATATAATAACTGCATTGACTGTCATTGGCATATCAATTGCGATTGCATCACCCTTTTGAAAAGTTGAATCTAGTGCATTTGCCACCAACCTGTAAATTGTAAATCAGAATGAAGATGGTACAACAGGAAGAGAGAAAATAACATCATAAGATGAACGAAATAATGGTTGTGATGTTTGAATATGAAAATAATACAAAAAGTGCTAGTAGACATGCACTACTACCACTACCACTATTACTATTACGACTACTACTACTGCTGCTGCTGCTGCTGCTGCTGCTACTACTACTATTACTACTAATTAATACGGCATTGCATTTTTGTATTGATATCTAACTGTAATTGTCCATAAGTTTACTATTGTCAATTTTTTTTCTTTTCCATAAAAGAACGAAATTATAAGAAATTCAGAAATGATAGTGAAAAATCAGTAATAAAAATTTCTCACTGAAATTTGATTTGAGACATTTTAGCTCCATTTTTGCATCTATTACGTACTCAAACACATAAAACTGAAATGTAGGTCAAGTAAACGAGAGCATACATCACTTGTTCTCGAAGTTGTTTAAGTGTCATACGGTTCACATTGGAATCATCTTTGCCTTCATCTCTCCATACAATTGCACAACTATTATCCTCTTTTCTGGGATGAGTTGAGGGCAATAAGCAACATTCAGCAATATTCAAAACTGAACCAGGAAGCCAAGTTCCCCCAGGTCTTGATATGTCGGTGTTATCCAGAATGCCCTTGGGAGATTCATGAAATGTAACTGAAAGCTCTTTTAGAATGATTGACCAATAAACCTGATAATCATTTCAAAAAAAAAAATAATAATTAATTTGAGAAGAAGATAAATTTTTTTAAAACTCCATAATGCAGCATTGAGATGGGCATTTACCTAAAAAAAAATAATGGATAAGGAGAAGAACATTAGATTAGTTGCTTACCTCAGGATGTTGGACAGTGAAATACCGAAAGAGGTTAAAACTTGCAATGGGATCGTTGTATGAAGTCCCTAACAGCTTTGGACCATGAGTTTCCATTGTTCGTCCCAAGTTTGTAAGTTTAGACTCATATCTGAACAGTCAGAATATTTGGCTCAGTTAGAAAAATGACAAAGTTTGACTTAATTCTCGCAAACTTAGCCAACATAAGTAAAATCGTTTTTATTCACTAGATTTTCAAGAAAGATATATTGATTCAGGGAATTAAGTCTCCTCAGAAGTTGAAACTCAGTGGGAGGAGTGAGTTCTAGTGGGATACTAAGTCTGCCTCAAGATCTCTTCAGGGAAGCGACTTTGTGGGCTGGATGGTCAGTTGGTAGTAGTTAGTGGCAATAGGAGGTAGGAACATGATAGTAATGGGGTGGAGGTCATGGCTGATGACTTGGAAGGAGTCTGGAAAAATCTAAAGCTAACGGAGGATAAGAATGAAGGCATAGAGATAGGAAAGAAGCAAGAGAATGAAGGCAAATCCCAAGCAGATTACTGGTTAGTAGGGAAGCTGTTAACTGCAAGACCCTTTAATCGTGATGCAATGATAGGTACGTTTAGGGTTATTTCCAAATTGGTACAGGAGGTACAGATTTCCGTTCTGGATGGCAACCTTTTCCTGTTCAAGTTCAGATCGAATAAGGATAAAACGAGGGTGTTGGAGGGAGCATCGTGGTCCTTTGAGAAAAAACTTCTCCTGTTTCAAGATTACAACGGAGAGTTGAGGCCGTTCATAACTGGTTTGAAAGAGCCACTTTCTGGATCAGAGTATATGACATCCCTCTCAAATGGATCAATCAGGAGGTGGCAGCTAGGGTTGGTTGGCCAAAAAATTGGAATGGTTAAAGAAGTCGATGATAATATAGATTTCGCGGACTGGGGTCGGTTTCTTCGAATGAAAGTAGATATAGACGTTACCAAGTCGCTAAGAAGGTTTGTAGCATTGGCAAAGCAAGGGGGAGACAACAACATTTGGGGTAAGCTTAAATACAAGAGGCTATCGGAATTTTGTTATGTTTGTGGGAAATTGGACCATACCGAAGCTAACTGTCCACATGTTGATGAAGATGAGATGGAGCCAGAACATGAGAAACAATACGGCGATTGGTTGAGAGCATCTCCTTTAAAAAAAGTTATAGACTAAACCAGAATGAAAGAGTTAAGGGGATTAAACAAAACAAGAAAGGCATAGCTGGGAATAATGCGAGCACAATACACAAGGAACGAGGTGATGGAAGCGGAGGACGACCAATGATGAAGGAAGGGAGAGACGGAAACGGCCAACAGGGAGCCAAGCAAGTTGAGGAAGTCACGACCAAAATCTCAGGTACAGTTAGTATGGGATCACCGATCCACGTTGATTCTGCCGAGATTACAAGAGAAAATCATGCAAAAGATAATAAGGGAGTTGAAACCACGTGGAGAAAAGACCCAGAGCAGGAAAGGAATCATGGGGAAAAAAAGGGATCTGACATGGACAATGAAGTTGAGAGGAACCATATGCATGGAACCACTTTGGATTGTAATGAAATAGGAAACCCTTTGATAGAAGAGGCAATCGCCATACGGGAAATACAAGAGAACATAGCTAAGGGAAGTGCTAGTTGGAAAAGAAAAGCAAGGACCCATGCAATGGGAAGGAGCACGCTGGAGATAAACCTGGGGAAAAGAATAGCAACTAAAATGGAAAGGGAGACTAATCGGGAAAGGAGGAAGAAGTCATCCTGGGAAAGAAAACCAAGGTGGAAAATAATTTGCCAGAAACGGTGGAGGCTAAGTGCCAACCCCATTGACGGCAATGAAATGCTTATCATGGAACTACCGTGGGCTTGGGAACCCACGGGAAGTTCGAGCCTTTCAGCAGCTGCTAAAACTAAAGCTCCCCATGTGGTTTTTCTCATTGAGAGGAAACTACATACTAGGAAGATGGAACAGATTAAAAAGACATGTGGTATGCAGTCGTGTTATAGTGTGGATGCTGATGGAACAAGTGGGGGTCTGGCAATGCTATGGACAAATGAGATTAACCTTCATTTGTTAAGCTTCTCCAAAAACTACATCAATATGGAAGTACAAGAAACTGATATCAATTCAAAGTGGTGACTGACTGGTTTTTATGTGGACCCGGATACGAGAGAGAGATGGCAGTCATGGGAGATTTTGAGATGATTAACAGCGCAACATAGTGGACTCACGAAAAATCAGGAAAATGCATAAGCGAGAAAGGCAAATGGAAGATTTTCGGGCTGTGTTGTATGAAACAGGGCTTGAAGATTTGGGATACAATGGTCAGTGACGTGTTAGGAAAATGGTCCAGCCTTATCTAATTAGTTTTGGACCAATCAAAGGCCATGGGCTTTGATTTTTTTTTTTTTATACAGAGCCCTAGCTACTTAATAAAAAGAGGTGGGGTTGTTTTAAGGTGATGTCCCAAACTATGAAAAGAAAGAAGAAAAGCCAGGAAAAATAGAGAGAAAAAAGAGAAGGGAGAGTTGGTTGAACGGAAGTTGATCCGTGGTCTGATTAAGCTGAAACTTTGTCAGCAGGTTTATGATTTAGAGTTCTACATTTTGAACGGTAAAAATCGAGTTAAAAGCTCTCTAGGAACAAATCTAAGGTGTATTTATTGAGTTACCTATTTGGTGAGATTTTTTCAATTATCTCTCTAATTGTTGATTAGCTTTAGTTTTAGCTAGAGAAGAACTTTGTATATCTATTGTTTGATAATGGAGATTTTTTTGGTGATTCGTGGTTTTTCCCTCTACGCTGGAGGTTTTTTCACGTAAATCTTAGTGTTTTATTTTTTCTACGTTGTTGATTGTTAATTGTTATCTATTACTATAGGTTTATTGTGTTATATTGCTTCTGCATTGTTGTGTTTATTGCTTCAGGCCTAACAAGTGGTATCAAAGCCAAAAGTCATGGGTTCGAGAAGTCACGGGTTCAAGTCTCAGTAGTGTTGTTAGAGGGTGGGAGATTGTTGGCAGATCGGAGGTTGACTGCATCCATCAATTTCATGGACTTGAACAACAATATTAAAAGAGATTGTTGGCAGATCAGAGGTTGGTCACGTCCATCAACTCCATGTGCTCGAATGTCGGTATTAAAATATTCGACTTAAATGCAACGAATATATGATAATATGCAGAAGCGAAACACCCAAGTGGACGATGTGTTGAGTCAACCTGAAATGCAAGCTTGAAGGAACACTGAGACAACCTAGGTACCCAGATTGAAGGTTGTGCCCTAGCCTAAGAAGCACACTAAAGATGTGAGGTTATTTGGCCCAAATCAGGTGTTAATAAGGACTTACTCACACAAAAAAATCGAGGTGAAACTTGATCAGAACTCATAAGTGAACGGGGGAGATTGTTAGGATATGATTCACATATGAGAATCTCACATCATTAGAAAATTTGAATAAGATGTCTTATATATGCATGAAAGACCCAAAAACTTAATAGCTTAAGCTTTTGGGCTCAAGTGGTGTCCAACATGTATGTATGAACTCTTTGGTGTGCTCTCATGGGCTTCAAGTGTGATTTAACTCCCCAACAGGATGGACGATCGATTACAGAACACTTGAGTGATTTTCAAGATATATTTAATTGGATGACTACTATGGAGCTTAAGATGGATGATGAAATAAAGGCATTGTTTCTTTTGGGTTCATTACCAAATAGCTGAAATACTCTTATTGTGATTGTTCTTAATTCAGATCCTGATTATAAGGTGACATTGGAGATGTTAAAAGATAATATGCTTAATAAAGAAGCAAGGTCAAAAGATATTGACCCTGAGAATTAAGCTCTGATCACAAAGAACAGGGGTAGAAACATCGACGAAGGTCAGAATTCAAAATGCCGTAGTAAATCTAAACATAGATCCAAGTCCAAAAATAAAGTTAAGTGTTTCCATTGTAGTAAAATAAGTCATATAAAATGACACTATAAAATCTTAAAACAAGAGCGAAAAGATGAGAAAGGCAAGAGTTCAGATGATGGCAATGTTGTAACAGTGAATTCAAATAGTGATTCAGTTACTTTGATTTGTACACATGGTGATTCTAATCATGTTGGTGATCCCAACATTTAGTGGATAGTTGACACAAGAGCGGCATATCATTGTGTTTCTAAAAGAGAATTGTTTATAACTTACAAAGCAAGAGACTTTGATTACACCAAGATAGGAAACAAGAGTGTGTCATAGAATGTTGAGATTGATGATATTGTTGTACAAACTAGTACAGGCTGCATGTTGACTTTGAAAGGCGTCAGACATATTCCGAATATGAGAATGAACTTGCTTACTATTAATATCCTTGATAAAGAAGGATATGAGAGTCGATAAAAAATTGGGCAATGAAAACTTCTCAAAGGATCTATGGTAATTGTAAGAGGAAAATTATACTACACAATGTATAAGACATGGATGCAATTGAATGGCAACCATGTAAATGCCATTGAGGATGATGCTTCAACAAACTTGTGGCACAAGAGGCTGGCACACATGAAATAGAAAAGGTTATAGGTTTTGGTAAGACAGTCTTTCATTTCTTTGACCAAAGGTATGTCTCTCGATTCATATGATCATTGTTTGTTTAGTAAGCATCGTAGAGTTTCTTTTCGTTAGAGTTCTTAGAGAAAAGAAGATATATTGGAATTGATTTATTCTGACGTATGTGGTCCCATTGAGGTTGAGTCATTAGGTGATAACAGATATTTTGTTACTTTTATTGATAATGCTTCACATAAGACTTAGGTGTATATGTTGAAAAACAAAAGCCAAGTATTGCAACATTTTCAGAAATTTCATGCCATGGTGGAAAAGATAGTGACAAGCTAGTGAGATACAAAGCTCGATTGATAGTGAAAGATTTTTCTCAAAAATTAGGCATCGATTTTGATGAGGTCTTCCCTCCAATTGTGAAGATGAGTTCCATTCAAGTGGTAATAGGATTAGTAGTTAATTTGAATCTTGAGCTCGAACAACTTGATGTCAATATTGCATTCTTGCATGGTGACTTACAAGAAGACATTTATATTAATCAACCTGAGGGTTTTGAAGTAAAAGAGAAAGAGTACT